TAATACAGATGAGAGTCAAGATAAGCGTTAGCCACTCGGTGACGTTTGCCGGTGGGCGGAGTCCAACAGGCAGGACATAAAAACGAGATGCACCGCGCTCTTCTTCCACTTCCTTCGATGTTCTGGCAGAGGTAAGATTTGTGCAACACTTAGCCGCTTTAGTTTAGTTGCAGAGTTTATCCACTAATTGGATGTTTTTAAAGAAAGAAACTACTGTATTGATACTGCAGTTTCACGTTAGTTCACGTCTCATTTTCAGCCATTTTAAACGCTGCGTGGTGTTTTTGCTAGAAGTTTCTCTTCATTGAGCACCGACCAGATTTTAGCGTAATCTTCAACCATCCACCAGCAGAATTTAAACATTTCGACTGAAACTTCTGTCACTACTAATAAAAATATGTTCTCTACCTGATGCATCCAGTATTGAGACTTAAGCGTAAAGCAGGCTTTCATTTTAATGGCTTCAGAAGTGACCGCACGGCAACTAACAGCGTCTCTAAATGATGAAACTTTTCACAGACCTGTCCTGAATGGCAGTGATTGCACTCTTTTTATTCTGATTTGAGACTCTGTTAAACTCAGTTTTCATACTGTTTCACGCGAACAGTAGCACGTTAAATTTCAGCGGTCACGTGGTAAACGGCATGGCTAGCTTGTTGCTAGCTGCAGCATGCTAACGCATTCTTTCTTTTATTTCCAGATGTGGAGCTGCTGGAAACGTGCTTCCTGCACAGGTAATGGCTGTTTACAGATTCGCTTTATTGGATTATAAGATGGAGAGTAGGGTCATGTAACCGTATTAAATGGCGTAACGTGAAAGGTCATGCTACTGTGATGACCTGTTTGAACTCTCTCACTGAATAAAAACGTTGAAGACAGCATTTCAAACACTGAGTAGCATGAAGGAATCACCACTGATCGTCTCGTGCTTCTTCTTTTACAACTCTCTAACGGCGCCATCTTTGTCTGGTTTCAGGCATGGCCTGTGAGGACACTTCCTACATCAGGTAATTAGAAAATGCTTCAGATTTTAATCTGGATTAGGAATTTAAATGATCTCTCTCAGTGGCTCTGCAGTTAAACATCTGTGTGGCTATAAATGAGCATGTTGTGCTGCGGTGATGAATCTTGGAACTCTCTCTTACTGAATCAGCGTTTTGAAGAAGCTTCTTTACCAGATTCTGAGCAGCATGAAGGCTCCAACCTAATTGTGCTGTAATGGCTCTTAAAACACTTTTATAAGACAATGACTGTGGTTTAAAGTTAAGGGCAGTGATTGAATTGACAAATCTCTAGTTCTAATTTCTTGAGGGTTCAAATACAGATCTCATTAACCAAGATATTTTTTTTTTTTTCTGTGTAGGTCCTCTGATGTGAACCCCGCAGTGTTCAGAGTGGCTTAAATTCAGAGGTCAGTTAAGATTTTCTGCCGTTGTTAAAATTCCACAGTAGGGTTTTAAGCATGATGATTACCATTAATGACAAGCATATGCCTGATTAATGTGATGTCAACCTTTAATCTGATTACCCTTTAATTTAGGCTAAAAACATGTAAATGTTAGTTATTGCAAATGATTAACAGTCGTATTTCTTTGCTAGGCTAAAGTTGGAGTTGTTTCAGAAGGAAGTGAGGCCAAATCAGCATGCAAGTATTAAGCTTTAATTTTTTTCAGGTTAATGTGAAATTCTAGAAATTGAATCTGAAATGCTAAATTAATTTATTGGTTCCATAATGTGAGGCATTTCTGACTGTTTGAAAGGATGAAATGGGTTAGCACCCATCAAACACCTGGACGACATGTGTCACATGGCAGTTTGTCACCAAAGCCCTGATCAAACATGCAAGTCCTTAATGGCACAAGAAGTAGTCCCTGCTTCTTTTTTTATTTTTTATTAACGGTCCAACTTCTCCTTTAGGGACTTCCACCAAATGCTTGGGGAGGAAGGCAGTCGAGAAAGTTTCAAGGTAAGGATTTAAGACTTGCATATTCTTTCTGTTGAGCTTGTCGTGCAGAGACAAGACGTCTCATCTGCAGCGCAGTTTCAGTGATGATGATACTTAGCTCACTTTGACCCAATGTGAAACGACACGAACGTCTGAGCAACTGCAGCTTTTCACTTTGAAGGATTTCTATCATCTGTGTATTTTATTTGTCATAATACAATCTGCATGGCCACTTGAGTGATGTAAATGATTTCTGTTGTCAGGTGACTTGATGACTGCTTCAGCAGCTCATGGAGGCTTTCCGGTTTGAAGGTATGTTTAATAAAAAAAAAAAAAAATCTGTGCAGTTTTAAATATTCAGACCTGCTGAAAATGATGAGAGAAATTTTGGAATCTCGTTCGTCTGAACTGCTGTTGATAAAATTTAAATCTGAAGTCAGTGACGGTCCACAGGAAACACTGAGACTTGAACCTCCTTTCTGTACCTTGACTTGATGCAATCATCTTACAGGTAGCTGAAGTTTGGACTCCAGATGCTGCCATCACCATCCCAGCTGTTTGTCCAGGTGGGTGAACTCTGTAGCTTCGTTTTAGTGCTCATCTAGACTTCTTTATGTAGGGGGCTTAGAGCTTGATGGACTCTAAAAACTTTTATTTAGACTGGTGCATGTCACTAAAGTTTCCTGTATGATGATATTTGCAGCCGTCTTACGCCTCGTGTCAATGCCAGACCTGAAAAGGTGAACCCACTGGTGTTGCCTTGGCAATAAGGGGATGACCTGTTGGGGTTACCAACAGTCTGAATGGAAACATACTGGAATTGTGAATCATCTGATGTTTATCTGCACGGGAACAAACCTGTAGCCTAACGTCATTGTGCGTAAACGTTGCTAATGTAACTTTGTGTTGTCCTTAGGACGTCCTTCCTGTCAAAGCTGGACGCAAGCCCTAGGTAAGTGCTGTGCATGTTAACATCAACAGAAAGGTGATCATAGTGAAAATAAAGGATGAATGATTCTGGTATTAAGGTCTAAAACTGTGCAGTCATGCTACCTGTCTGATAAGACTGTGGATCTTGACTTTAGTACTGCTGGGTTTATGCAAATGATGAACGCTCTCGTTCAGTCCAAGAGGGACAAGCACCCCTCTCACTCAGTTGGTCTCCCCTCCTGTTGGCCTAGCATGGCGCTGAGAACCCTGACCCTGTTACCCCTCCAGGTGTAAGGTGACCTGCTTGTGCTCTGATGGAGGAGGAGTGCTGACTGAGGCATGGCTGAAAAGGTGTTTTCTGATCACATCCCAGAAATTTCATATTTAAATTTCTTTGACACTTTATAACACAGTGGCTTTGAATGCTGCTTTATAGATTTGCTTCACTACAGTGATGTCAGTCTGACATTTTCCCCCAAAAGAGCTTAAGCAGGATACTTAATACTTGTCTGTCTTTAAACAGTTTTAAACACCAGATCGTCGGTTCAGTCAGTTCATGCTGGTGAGTACAAACTCTGGTTCTGTTTTAACAGCATGCAGCAGCTTAATGTGCAGTTAAACATTAAACAGAAGTGATGAGGTTGTTTTACCGCCCCAGTCTGAAGATTCGTGACTGATTGGTATACTCTGATCTCAGCAGCTAAAATGTGTTCTCAGTCACTCCACCAGCAGACTCTACTAACACATTTCATCTATTGCAGGTTTCTTGTTTGAGGCAATGGAGTCATGTGGTCTGTGTCCAGCACCTCATGTCATGAGACTGACATTGCGCACAGTCATGATGGTGAGTAACCAGTTTAAACTGGAAAAGTTACTTAATTAGGCAACGGTTTAGTGTTAAGCAGAAGTGATGAGGTTGTTTTACCGCCCCAGTCTGAAGATTCATGACTGATTGGTATACTCTGATTTAAAACGGACATGATCATAACATGAGTGTTCCTGCCCTCCATGTTTCTAAGTGTTTGTTTTTAAACTTTGCAGATTGGCCGGTACGCGCCACATCGTGATGATCTCCTGTGGGCTGCCACCAAGATGACTGCAGTTTGAACTACACTGGAATTGTGTGGACACCTGTGATAATGTTTACATTTGTGGGGTTCTGTCACTTAAAATTTGCAGTAACAAAACAATAAAGTGTTTAAACTTTAGCAGACTGAGCCGTTTTATTTCAAGTGTGACTGTGGGGAGACTCTATAAACCAGAACATTTTAATAGTGCAAGTTTTTAGAATGTCAGGTTAAAGGGATAACGCAGGATGCTTTGTGTTGTAGCACAAATTAAATCAAACTTAAATGCTAACTGTCAGAATTAGCTTGAGGCTGATAGATGAGATGACAAATTATGCAGAACTGGCCTGTGCAAGAATGGTGGAAAGCACAAAATTTGTCTCTGTGGGAGCTTGTGATACAACCAGAATTTGCAAAGAATTGCATGTCAAAGAGAACTTTAGAGTACATAAAGATGAGCATAACAAGTTGTCTGCAAGAATCAAGTGTGGATGTTGTAAGAAGGCAACTGCAGTGTTTTGCCACAAGAATGGATGAACTTTTATTACTGGGTTCATACAAGTAAACTATGGTAAGTCTCCTTTAAATCAGTGCAAACCCAGGACTGCTGGGTAAATCCTTAGTTGATGGGACAAGTATAAAAGCATTCAGTCACTTAAGGCGGCAGGTCATGAACAGAGACCAGCTGGTCTGCAGTTAAACATTCAGTCGGCAGTGAAGATCCTCGCAGCGATGTCATCTAATAACCAGTCCACGCCAGCTAACAAGTTCTCTCCTGTTACTGCACTGCAACCAATGATACACCAGTGATGACTTTTGATGTTATCCAGGGCCAGCGCCTGCAGAAGAACAAAGTGTCAGCATCCACCGTGATATATGCAACTATATCATTGCTGAAATGCAGTGTCAAGTGGGTGCAGAGCTCACCTCTCGTATTGCCTCTTTGGACAGAGATCCTGGTAAATCCTGTTTGTTGGCAAAAACCAGCAGCGTTGCACCAGCTAACCTCTGCAAAGAACGGAGCGCAGCTTATTTAAAAATAGCGTAACGTGTTCATACTGAAATCAAATGTACATATTTTGACTCTGGCTTTTAGGAGTGTTTGTCCATGGAGGCCAGTGTGAGTCTTAAAAGATATAGAAAGTCCAGACAACTCAGAAAAATAAGATTGATAAAAACGATTAAAGATTTGCTTTCTATTAAAGATAAATGGATACTTCTGATTCATTTGGGCGAAATATTCCTTTTAAATGACAGGTGGAATACCAGGGTTAAGGCTGGTATTCAGGACTAGTGAGTGTCACATTTTTACACACCTACCCTTCTGGTCTAACGGTTACTGCAAACCCATTACGTTTCTATTAAACTCTTATCCTTTAAAAAGCAAAACAACCAAAATAAAGGATTCTGTCACTCCACTGTGTGTCATTCTCATATACCTCCTCCAGGAGGAGTGCGCTGAGCTCCTGTCTGCAGTCTTCCAGTCTGAGTCTGTCTGCGCTGTCCACCACCCACACCAGCCCATCTGTGCTCTCAAAGTAGTTCCTCCAGTAGGAGCGCAGTGACTTCTGACCGCCTACGTCCCAAATATTCAGTTTAAACCTGGAAACACAAGGAGTGGGAGGCATGAATGGAAATGTACAGA